AAAAAAAAATGTAAAGTAAAAAATACATGATAAAAAAATCATCCAAAAGAAAATTACGAAGTTAAAAAAATTAACATGAACACCAACTCGACGTCAGATAGATTCAAACTACGACTGCAGGGGTAAACTGCCCTCCCATGACAAAAGGGCTTAACTGACAATTTGTTGTTTTGGAGATATTAAGCAAAACGTGTACTTCATTTAGCCCTAAAATGTGTTTTAGTATTTGATTTTATGGTTAAGGTATTCAAATAGACAAATAATGTTTCTTACAGTGTAGCACACATTTTTTCTATAAATTGATTTTTGTGCTCAAAATGTCAGTTATGCACTTTTGCTGTGGGTTTTCTGATTTAAGACATGTTGACAAACTTTGGCAAAAGGATATAAGTACACAGTCTAGTTCCTTTCAATGCAAGTTTAAGTCAGATTATTATTAAAATAACATTCACTATATAATTTCATATGTTATTCGTGTATAAACTATCAAATAAATGTACAATAATACCAAAGAAACGCATAAACAATAAATACTAAAATTACAAACGATTAAAAACCCATGTATAGGTTAACCAAGTATACAAACAAGAAAATGAATTAACATTAGTATGCTGTTATGTATCTATCAACAAAGCCTTTTTGGCTCAAGGTGTTAGATCGAGGACCCTGTGGGTAGGGGGCCTTATGGACCCCACACAAGAGCGCATAGGCGTTACGTCACTGCGTGAAGGATGCATGCGTATGCGTATATGAAATAGAACTGCTGTTTAGTTTGAATGTGACTGTTTCTATGTGTAGGTTAAACAAGAATTACAATAATTTTTAAAATTTTATTTACAAAGTAAAATAATAAATATATATTTTAAGTCATGTAATTACAATATAAATTAGGCCCATTATTATTATTATTATTTTTATTAGCAATTCTTCTCTATGATCCAAATTCAAGTAATAATAAAATTATTATGAATATTATTGGTTTTTTTAATATTCTAACAAAAATAATATTTAGAAAATGTATTATATATTTAGATTTAGATGAAAAGTAAGGTGTTTATTTTTGGTTAGTGAACACAGTTGATTCGAGTAAACTGTGCATTTATACCTTTTTGTCATGCCATTTGCTATAAATAAATGTTGTAGTTGTGCCTCTTTGCCATAGTTATCTGCTAAATAATCGTTTTAGTTGTCCCTATTTTGCCACTGTTATTTCTAGTTAAAATGTGAATTGTTATTCTGCCATGATTAATTATTTTTTATTAAACAGTTACTATTTTCCCATAGTTTATTTCCATAGTATTAAACTGTTGCCATTCAAAGTAAGACAAGATTATATAGCATAAATTATCATGTTTGCCTAACATTAACTAGACATATGCTACTGTCAAGAATCATACTATTTAGCCAATTTCTATTTACAAATTATGAGTACACAAACAGTAAGAATAATAAATATAATGAAACTTAACATGCAACCTTCATTGTAACCAGGGAGAAAGCTCTCTTCTGATTGGTTGGCTGTTGAAAGAATGCCACACTTCAGCGTATCACAGCCTATCTTTGCAGTTATGCCCTTTTGCCTTGTGAATTTACTGAAAATTGTGTAGTTATGCCCTTTTGCCATGCCCCTATCTAGCCCGGGGGACACTTTTTTACAATTTTTTTTTTGTCAATATGTGTAACATGATGTACTGACCCCACTAGGCTATATAACTCATTTTCGCCAAAAATGTCAGTTATGCCCTTTTGCCATGGGGGGGGGGGGCGAATAGCTACGGTGATGTGAATTCTCAACCTTGCAGAGAATCGTGCATTGTAGTTTGTCTACCTTGTGTAATGTTATAAGTGGAGGGCGAAAATCATTCTTGTAGTTTAGGGAAATGTTGTGGTTAACATAACAGTAGAATGTTTAAAACGGTTTAGGAAACACAATTTGCGTTAAATTAGAAGTTGATTCATTTTATGAATAGTCAAAACATGTATAATTACGTTATGTTTCAATATGCATATATCTCATATTTTCAAATTATCTCTGCTTAGACAAAGTTCAAAAGATCTAATTAAGGAAATTGACCATAAGTGCCTCCCAGATAACTCCAGTGCAAACACATAAGAAAAGAGGATAGACGAAAAATCAATATAGTGCATTATATCTTAAATACAATGTAATATATTGAAACACAATATTATACAATGTAAAAATGTACTATAGTATCGTCAAATAAATAATAACAATTTTCATCACGACATAAATCAAAACCTACATAAAAAAATAATTATTATTTTAAAATTGAATTTTATAAAACTGAGTGTAAATTATAACTGAATACATTGCAGAAATAACATACATCATTACTGGCATGTTTTTTTTTTACTATTATTAGATTTTGGTTCACCAACAAGGTCAGCTACCACTAGTAAAATCTCTCGGATTTTCCGTCTCGCCAGGTTTCGAATCACACGTTGGAATGAGAAATACAAAGGTAAATATATCTAATGGGTCGGGAATTTCACAGATATCTTTAAGTTTGACATGAAATTCAGATGTAAATCTACATAAACAAAACGATAACAATTATTAACTTTTCCCAAGGGCACAGGGAATCAACAGTTCTCAGATTGCAATAGGATTTCCCGATTAATTAGAGGTTAACGGAGATTTACAGAATATAATTCTCATAGTAGGCCTACGGAAACCTTCATGTCAAGTAGAAAATGTATATGGGCCTGTTAGTTGTTTAACACAATTCCGTATGCTGTCAAAATAACAATTATTGTACAGATGGAAAGAGGCTAGGCAAAAAAAAATAATTAAAAATTAAATAAAACAGGAGTTACGCTACTAGCCTAATAAAATGGCGTATTTTTTTTTCGAACCAGTCTGAAGTGTTTACAAAAACTATATATTTTGAAAGAGGTCATCAATTGTTTGAAATCAACTTCTATACAAACATTATTCCACGATAAAAGTTTGAGTAAAACATAATATTGAAGTGAACAAATTTTAGTAAGCACATCATTTTTTTTTTAATTTTAAGGTGGAGAATCTCGAGCACCCATACAAATCAAATTGTAGAAAACAGCCTTTGAAATACGCACAATATTACTCTGTGCAGGCCTGCAACTATGAGTGTTACGTTGATTACGTTATTGAAAAATGCGGATGTCGAGATTACCGAATGCCTGGTATAACAAATTTTCATTTCATTTCATTATTTTTTTTTTTGTCTGATAAAGGTAAAATACACAATCTGAAAAGTGGAGAGACCAGGGCCAACCAAAGTATCCCGATCACCCTAGAACTGCTGGTGGGCCGATTTTTTCTTGTTATAGATTAGGCAGAGTCGAATGAGGGAGCGGCGATCTGCTATCATGAATAACCATTGTATAATTATAATTATGTCGTGCATAGTGAGCCTTGCACAGTTTACAAACTAGTGCATGGAAATATTGCACAGTTTGAAATTTGCAAACAAATTGCAATTTTTTTTTAACGATGTCGTGTTGTTAGGTGAGACATTAATTACTAACAGCACGACATCGCTTGCGCTTTTCTGCAAACATATGCGCGTTGTTGTTGAGGATGTGGAAACATCATAAAATTTTAAGCGTTGAGGTTGAGGATGTAGAAAAAAACTTTTCATAACATTTTTTAAAATTAATATTTAATTGCAGAATCGTTATTTTTACACTAATTTAAACAAATGTTGACAACTGGTATATCACTTTGATGGCTAAATTTTTTGCTGTCCGTAAAATGCCAATGATCAATCTAGCCATTATAATAGAGATCCTGTAGTTAGTAGCTCGTACACATTTTAGTTAATTTACACATTTTTAGATTATTTACTATTAATTTATTCTGTTGATGGATGGTTACGTGAAGATGCTCAAAGCTACGTTTTTGAGCGCCTGCCGCCCACGCCCATTTTGCTCTCATTGCCCCTCCCCCTTCTCTTCGGAAACATATATAGGGTGCCGTCAAGCAAGTCCTGGTGGCACCCTACATGTTAATCATCCGGATGTGTGCGGATCGTGATATGGAAAGATGGAGAGGCACCAATTAAGTTCGGTACATACGAGCGATTGTTTGGTTGGCTAGATAGGCCTAGATGTAATTCATAATTTAAAAACTACCCTTATCGGTTAGTGTCTCAATAAGTGGAAACTAGTCATTGTTGATTTAGCACCATTTAAGTTAACAAAAAATAACAAAAATAATTAACTGAATCATAAATCAACAATCAAATCAACCAATGAATGAATCAATTAACCAATCAATCATCTATTAATAAATTATGCAATTGATAACTCTGTCAGTAAAACAACCAATCAATTGAACACTCAATCAACTAATTAATTAATTATTGACCAATTATTAAATACATCACTAACATTTTATTAGGTTTTTATTATTTTGGCGTTAATAAAACCACTTTAATTTGTATCTAGCTTAATATTATTATTATATATTTTTATTATTCTTTATATCATCTTATTCTTTTGCAGGGGACGTGCGAAGATGTAGCCCATACGAATCAATAACTTGTATTAATAACGCTTCAAGTAAGCATGTATCTTAATGTATTGTATAAAATTGTTTACATGGGCAGAGTTATCTAGAGTTTGTATGTATTATACAGTAATTAAATAGCAACTCAAAGTATTATTATTATTATTATTATTATTATTATTATTATTATTATTATTATTGTTTACATTATTATTATTATTAATACTATTATTTTTTTATTATTATTGTTTACATTATTATTATTATTATTATTATTATTATTATTGTTGTTGTTGTTGTTGTTGTTGTCGTCGTCGTCGTCGTCGTCGTTGTCGTTGTCGTCGTCGTCGTCATCGTCATCATCATCATCATCATTATCATCATCATGTTTTGTTATTTTAATTATATCAATACAATTCCAATTCAATTGTCAATAGATGTGAGTACAAAGTATGTTAGCAGCAGTTAAACTGAAAAGTTTGGTGCTCATTGCGCGCCCTCTAGTTTGTGGTAGCATGTTATATATATATATATATAATAATTGTGTTTCAACAAAACCCTGAGAGTCGGACCTCTTGCAGTTCTAATCCTTGATAGTACAGTAAGAAGCATAAACATGCATTTGTGTTTGAATAACTTGGCATTATATTCTGACAGACATAATTTCTCCGAGTTATCGCCACTTTTAGTTCGGCATCCTTATTGAGCTTGTAAAATATCTCTACCCTAAATAGGCCTCAAATATTCCTATTCACTTTCTGTAATCTATTAGAGTTAACTGATTCATGGAATTTCTTTAATTAAATTTGAACAGATATTCTTTGAGATCCAATTTACCTTGTTCTACGGATATTGTTTTCTATTACCACTTGTCGATAAACGACGATGGGCACGTGTCAGTCTTCTTCTCCCCTAGTCCAGGTGTTATACACTAGCCTAGAATATTCGTCGCATTGTGCGATCATTACCCTCGCCGAAGGAGAGGCGAAAAGTATTGCAATAGCACCTGTCTGTCTGTGGTGTTATTGACCTTCTGGTCGCAAAACTCAAAATTTACTGAACCGAATAACCTTAAATTCTAACACATTGGCAATATTACATGTATCTCGGTCCTCCTTGATGCTGAGCGGAATTAAGATGCAGATTTTATAAGGTTATCCATTTTTCATTCGATTCGTTTGGCTAGACCAGGTTGACTCGAGCGGATCGACAGTGGACCGACTCGAACGGACCACGTGTTAAATTCTGGAAGCAGTCCTTAGGCCTACCATATCGTAACTCGTTTGACGGATAGATTGGAATAATAACATATTAAAAAGTGTATTCTATAAATGCAAAATAATACATACAGTCGATTAACTTCACATATAATAAGTGCACCTTTCCTGCTCGGCTACACTTCACCTGATAAGTATGTACTGTTAGTAATATTACACCCCTATAATAAAGGACGAGGGTTTGTAATCTGAGATTATCTTGTTTTGACATTTTGCTCACGAGCCAAAAAAAAAAGGTTAAGTAAACCTTACACTAATAAAAGTTAATTAGTGCAAGGTTTGGGATAGGAAAACAGCACTGGGAGTTACAGGGATTGACTAAAATTAATTTTATATTTCTAGAGGATTTTATTCACGAGGATTGGCAGTGTGACTGTCCAACAGCATGCACAGCTAACATGTATGATATAAGGGTTTCGTCAACGTACTGGCCATCGACATACGTTACAAATCTATATCTAACGCCAATGGGAATATCGGAGTCTGAGGCAAGGTAAATTAGCAAGAGACTGCGAAGAAT